TAAGCGGATGTAAGGAAATGGATGGACTTCATGCAGGGAAATACTGTGACAAGTTGCTTTTGGTTTTAGGTCGAGTTGACGAGCAGGCGTTTATTGGTCTTAAGAATAGTAGTGGTATCGCGCTAATCAAAGCATTTCGGGATAGGCTCCGGAAAGTAATAGGACAGCATCTACTTGTTGTAGAACGAAATGTAGGGCGACTCAGAAAGAACTGGGTCAGATAATGAACTAAGAATGATGACAAATAGTGTTGACCTACTGTTCAAAATGTAACAAAATGTCATTTCCAACATGCATGGACTGTTATTCAATCATCATCATCATCATCATCGTCATCATCATCATCATTATTATTATTAGTAGTAGTAGCAGTAGTAGTAAATAGTTATGTAATACAATTTCATTCAAAACATATATTTTATTCTTCAGGATAATTCGTTAAAAACGTTTGTTTTTTAAATGTGACTATCGGACTCTGATTATTTAGCCTATATTCTGCCTTTAAGGAATTGAACCGACATGAGTACAATGTGTGAAGCCCATTTCTGATGACTCCCGCCTTGATATTGCTGGAATATTGCTAAAAGCGGCGTAAAACCATACTCACTCACCAAGGAATTGAAGTGCTGTTCCGTTATATGTGTGGATTTTCAACTTCCCTCTTATTATTTATATACGTCAAAACAGAAACGGGGAAGTGTCTGATATTGGCTAAAGTGGGGATTTCCATTGTTTGTTTAATACGAAAACATACTGAGGAAGAAAAACCAAGTCCATATGACAGATAGCTATCATAACACAACCCTTCCTGAAACAACAAGGCAACAGTTTGTGTCATAAATGGACTGTGCATTTTGACTCTAACAATCATAGATTTTTTAATGATTTTTTTATGTCCATTAGTCTGCTGTTATTGGATAAACCATCAGTGATATATCGCAGTTCAATGTGTAATACACATCCTCACATCCATACGTACTGTAGAAGGCTACTCAAACATGGCTTGCTGGTCACTGCTTTGTTTACCTGCGAGATGGCTGGTTGCGAGTCATCCTCACCTATCTGCGTGGGTCGTTGTTCACACTATTGACCACTAGTTTGGTCCGGGCTCAATGACATATCGCCGGGAGGTACATTGAACATTTGCCATTCACTAAATGACGGACTAAAAAACCTCGATAACTGCAATAAATAAGGATAATTAATTGCGTGTTTGTTGTTTAACGTCACACTCAGCAACGGCGGTGTGTAAATAACCGAATCTGCACCGGACAACCCTGTGATTGATAGTGTGAGCAAACATCGGAGGTACGCCGTCGGGGTACGACTACATGAAATCAACGAAGTCACCGTGCCTGACCACCCGATCCATTTGGTTGCCTTTTACGACCAACAGTTGCCTGGGAACCAATAATTATTCTAACCCGGAATCCCCACTGGACGCTCATCGACTACATGTCGAGTTTTCAGTAGTTCGAGACACACACAGTACCGATATCAAACTGTAATGTAAATAAGAATAGCTTTGGACATGGACGTAAAATCTGCTTTAACGATATTAGGACATACGGGATTAAGTTTAATCGAATTGGTTCGAAAACATATATGTAGCTACCCATTACTTTTCAACCCTTATAGCTCACTTTCGGTGAACCAAAGACATAAAGCATAAATTCCTATTTACCGTTCCGGTAGGTAAGGAGTTTGGAGTAGCGAGGGTGGAAATACACAGGTTCCACAAGTGGGGCTTAAAGTCACGTTCAAGATTATTGCACTTGTATATAGATAGCAACGTTCGTTCACGTATGTGTTCCTGTGTGCGTGTTTGTGAGGCTGTTTAATTGTACTGTCGGTTTTATAGTGCTAGTCCACTGTGACACCGTGCCTCAGTTTAACATGGATACCCGACCTAGAGACATTACACTCCGAGCCGACCAGTCCTTGTTGTATGGCTTAATGCGGAGCCCCAGGCAGGATAACAACACGTATCAACTTTTGACGTCGTACGGTATAACGTGGCCGTGGATCGAATCACCGACCTTTCCCTCACCGGGCTCTATCCTCGACCACGAAGGTGGTGGTGTATCTCCTGATATACGCACAACCTCGTTGATTAAGACACCATGAATACCGAAGCCCATTTTACCATACTGTTTGAAAGGAACTTCTTTCTTGCAGAGAAACTTCGATAACTGGAACTCCGCACTCCGCACTCCGCACTCCGAACTCCATATATCGATAAAGAAGATGTGACTGTCACAACCTGCGTGTATCGAACTACGGATAACTCCATAGCATTACGGTGCCTTGGAGTTTGAGGTATCACTCTATTTCAAACTAAAAATGTTTTGTGCACATTGATCAGCCCGGACGTTGCACGGAGAACTGTCCAGCGCTCATTAAGAGAATCTGTGTTAAGGAGGTCTGGGTCATAGAAGGACGACAGACGTGCCGGAGGTAGGATAGTAGAGCATTGCTGTCTGTCATCAAGGCTTCCAATTCAGCTTGTGCACGGACAATTGCAAATTGGGACGAATCTGTGTCAGTGAATGGAATGAGAACGAAAGCCTTGTTAACAGATTTGCAGTTAAGTCCCTTACCACGTGAGGGAGTCACGAGTTATTATAGGCCTTAAGACTCTTTCTATTTCTGCCTCAGCTGTTACAGTAACTTCGAAGTCCTAAAAACAGCAGAAAATATGTAGAGTTACAGAGAATTTGAGACAAAAGGATAAATGAAATATGAATCGAGTTTGAAAAAAACCCTGCATATACATAACCAGGGCACATCAACCAGCAGGTAGCTGCTGCATATATCATGCATTTGTAATCATAAATACATGTTAATGGACACAGATTTTGATGCACACTCTAAATGACAGTTTGTATGTGAGTGTGTGATTTGGGTTTCACGCCGCTGTGTACCGTATTCCAGTTATAACACGGCGTATCAGCTTGATCTGGAAGGAAAGTGATGCAGGTCTCACATGTTTACCTCTTTGGTGAAACCCACGAACACGGGTAAGTTGGTTACAAACCAAAAAACATGATCGGGCGATGCGGGATTCGTACCCACGATTATAGGGTTCTGGCGGGCCCAAGAAACGCAACTCTGCACAGCGAATTGCGGCGCTCTAGACGGCAGGGCCACCCGTGCGCCACAGTATGTATGTACGAAGCTATGTATTTAATATAAAAGTATATGCATTGCGTATGATCTACGTTACTTACGGCGATACAGTTAAATCATCGGGACTACATTAATTTCCGTATAAACGAATTATGAATTCTCGGTAATGTCACTTTAATGACGTTCTCAACAAGATTGTCAGTAAGACGAGGTTTCTGGACAAACGCGGCGTCACTGTTGTGTCCATAAACAGTCTAAGAAAGGCTTGTAGACTTGTAGCATCCCTGAATCGATATTAGACATTTATTTGGCTTAATCAATGTAACCCAGATAGCAGAAGGGACCTCGTCTCACAATCAACTAACAACGCCCACGTCACTGGAGCATTGGCTTATCACAGCGACCAGAATATGACTCATTGTTGTCTATTTCAGCCCCAGCAACAATACAGCCATAATGTTTTGACATGTATGTCAAGCAATGTGACAGACTGCAATGAACAAGGGCACGTGTGCACGTTCGTCTTCCAAATTTACACATGGTCTCCGTGGTCTAGTGTCTGACCGGAGAGCGGAAGGTCGGTGGTTCGATCCCCAGCTGCGTCATACCAAAAGACGTCATACCAAAGTAAGGCGATGTACTTGTTGTTACCCTGCCTGCCGCTCCGCATTGAGGGGATAAAGCCGGGGAGTGGTCGGCTTGGAATGAGTATTATGTGTCCGAGTGGGGTACCCATGTTAAACTGCAGCATGGGGTGTCTCAGAAGATATACCGACATAAGTCCGGACTTGAACAAGCAGCCACACACACGTGCATGCACGTCGCCATGTAGGTGCAGTTCCTTTTAACGCGCCGTTACCGCAATTTTATCTGACCTCAGTATTACGAGTGACTGGGTTGGGATTAACACCTTTTGAACAGTATTCCAACTAAATCTCGGTGTGTCAGCTTCCCCAAATCCCTAAATACTGAACAGTATTCCAACTGAATCACGGTGTGTCAGCTTCCCCCACCCCCTATATACTGAACAGTATTCCAACTAAATCTCGGTGTGTCAGCTTCCCCCACCCCCTATATACTGAACAGTATTCCAACTGAATCACGGTGTGTCAGCTTCCCCCACCCCCTATATACTGAACAGTATTCCAGCTGAATCACGGTGTGTCAGCTTCCCCCCCCCCCCCCCCCCAAATACTGAAGAGTATTCCAACTGAAACACAGTGTGTCAACTTCCCCCACCACCTAAATACTGAACAGTATTCCAGCTGAATCACGGTGTGTCAGCTACCCCCACCCCCTATATACTGAACAGTATTCCAACTGAAACACAGTGTGTCAACTTCCCCCACCACCTAAATACTGAACAGTATTCCAGCTGAATCACGGTGTGTCAGCTACCCCCACCCCCTATATACTGAACAGAATTTCAAGGGAGTATTGCTTTAAACATGGACTACAACATTTGAGTACTTGTTTCCGATCTTGATCCATAAGTTGAGAGGTTTTTGGGCGTCGTTTTACGTGAACGCTAACTAACGCAACTGCTTCTTAAAGGGTGTTCGGAGTTCGAATACATATGATGAATATCTATTTGATAGAACGTTAAACCAGGATCGATTGGCAGATGAAAGGTTACAAAGTGTTTGTTTGTTTGCTTAACTCCGCGTGTCAGCCCTGGGGTTACCGCCGGTCCATCCATCACATCAACTCGACTCTTAAGACTACGATGGATGAAACACAGTAAATGTCATCACCTAACTTGATGCAGGCAACTAGCACCGCATTCAAGCTTACAATGTGTTGACCATATCAGTGACACCAATTGTTACATCAAACCCATGACAGTTTAAAAGGAAAACAAAAGTAAAATATTCATTCAATAAATTTTATTTTAAAAAAATGTATCTTTGCCGACCAGCGGCACATGAAGACATAGCAAAAGTTTAAACATTTCACTCTTGCAATAAATGCTCATTTTGTCGTCATATTTGTATAAACATGGAACCTATTAATAAAATACAGGTAGCATAACACGACTCCTATCACAGGGACCCGCCCTATATCTGTACGGAATTCTTTGACATAGACTTGGTTCAAATATAATCTTGATTAACAATATATTAATCATAAATATCAAATTTGACCTCAATCTGCTACAAAACATTACTGTTCGCTATGACTAGATTGAAAGACATGGGACTTAGATCGAGAATAATAGCTAAATAAATTAGAATTTGGAAGTACCAAATTTAAGTCATATTTGATTACATCAATCAAATACATCTGTCCATTCGAATGATGGATATAAAGGCTTGACCACCATTATCACAGTTCCTACATCTGTATCGGATACAGGGGGTACAGCAGACCTGTGACGTATTTGTCACTTGTCACCTCAGATCACACTTTTATCACAGGGTCTTTCGTCACGAATAGTGACTTGCAATGAATGCAAACACCATGGATGGCGGTTCCAACACAAGTCCATCAAACTTCGTCGATTTTCCCAAGATTCAAGGGGAAGTAGCTTTCAAGTTGTGTCGCAGCTGGGAGCAGACGACACATCGCACGCGACGAGCAGACAAAAAGCTGCCGATGCTCAGCAGGCGAGTTTTTGCTGTTGTCAACGAATCAAGGTCGTTGGTGAGGTAAATCCAGTTTGGACTTAAGAGTTCAACGACTGAAGATTTGCTTCAGAATATTACTTTTCTTCTTTCTATACTTCAGAGCTGAAAACACAACATGCTCGAACACCTCTTTCAATCCTTCACGGCTCCTTGCCGAGCACTCCACATAGCAGTCAGCGCCAATGTCCTTGGCCAACTGGACACCCTCGTCGGCGCTGACCTCGCTGTCTTCATTCCCGACACGGAGGTCAATTTGGGTGCCCACGAGGATGACCGGTCTCTTCTGTTTAGATTGTTTAGTGTGTCTCTTCAGTTCAGGCATCCACACGTCATTGATGCTGGCCAACGTTTCCCGGTCACAGGTGGAGAAACACAGAAGCAGGACTTCACTTTCTTTGTAAGTGAACGAGCGTAGACTCTCGTAGTCTTTCTGCAAAAACAACAACATGGAAACATTAAAACATCTGTTACATTATTCACAGAAGACAATGTACATATTAACATGTAGAGTAGAACACTAACGGGAAGCCCTTTGCCTTGATCTAGAATATGTAAAAGTACACCGACTCTGTGATCGTGTTCAACAAGTTTCAGGAAGGCAAACATCCATGATTCCTTAGGCAAACAGCTCGGCTTAAGAATCTTGACTCAAAACACAGACAATATTAGCGAACTGGTTACAGTTCTACTGGCCACCTATTTACCCTAGCCAGGATGCTGCCTCTGCTAATTCTTCAAATATATATCACTTTGTTGCGATCCAACATTTATTTATCCATACAATCCCCTATTGTTAGATAATCCCCCATGCCAATATATAACGGATCACTGTGATATGGTCAAAAGGATACCATATCGTTTAATGATGTCAGGAAAAGTCGAACAGAAATTGTTCTTACCTGTCCAGCTGTGTCGAACATGCTGATGATAAACTCCTCCCCAGCAACGCTCAAGGGCACTGAAAATAAAAAAAATCAATCATAAATATCCACCATTTACTATCAATAACTCATAACGGTAAATTAACAAGTACATAATACACCTACGAATTGTTATCCATTGCTTCGCGTAACGACCCATACAGTTACACTGCTTTGCATTCCTTCCTAACAATGAAGCTAACCCGATCAATAGGTTGTATTATGTGATTGTGGGTGACGGGGTGTGGTATGTCTGGTATTTCGATCCACGGCTCACCGACTGCGTCTATTCCACCCACTGATTACAACACCTTAGAAACCAAACATTCCCCAAACCAAATTACTTCACGTGTCGTTGATGTTTCTCGTTGCTTCGAGAAAGGAATTTTGGCAGCGGTGCTAGAGAATGGTATGTTCGCACAAATATATTTCGAAAGGATTTAACTCTAAACATTTTTTGTAAAACTGTTGAATGTAACTTGTATAAATATAGTAGAAACAAGAAAGTAATATAACGTGATACCTAGTAAGAAATGAAATAGATAATAAACAATTTAAGAAGAGAGAAACCGGTTGCCGTTTTCATCCCTGATAAGAACGATAATGATATTAAGAGAAAATATCAGTGTACATACCTGCATAATTCTCGAATACTGTAGCTTCATAACCCTCACTGAAGGATTTCTGTGCGTAGCTTTCCGAGATGCTAGTCTTCCCAACCATTCCGTCTCCAAAGACGGCACAATGCACGCATTTCTTATCCTGAGGTTTCATATTGCCTGCCTTCATAATGAAGCTGTGTTCACCGGTAGATTCTAGACTGACAGGACACGAGGCGATGTTGTTATACTCAAGTCAATGGATAAACTGAAGCTAAATATAACCCACGGGGATATATATGCTGAGGCTTGACCAATCAGCTCCTGCCTCATATGACCTCACCACGCTCGTGTCGGGTTCGTCACGTGATAGTTGTTGCCCTGTCAATCTCGCCTGATATCCGTGTGCTATGGATCGAGTTGCATTAATATATATTTGCGCATTGTGTTTAGCGATAATGAAATAAACTGTTTAGATCAACAATAGCATGTACACTAAGAATAAGGTTCAAATGACTTTGCATTACATGCTGGTATAGAATGGAGGATATCTGCATGGACTTAATTATTTGTGTGACGAACATGACAACGCGGAACTCCGATCTACTTCCGTCAGCTGTCCACAACCGATTGTTTTATTTTCAAACAATGCATTCTCACGGGACGATTTATAAACAGACACGAGAGAAATAAAATATAGGGAATTCCATCGTATGATCGTTAGCACGGAATAATCCTCTTTTGGACATGGTATTTCTTATTATCACAGGTATACGTAGCTGTACAAATAAAATATTATTAACCCATTTATCCTGTGGAGGTTGAAGAAGATATATATATATATTGTACAGCTCGTATTTGTGTGATTTCAGCTATAGCATGTGAATATCAAATGACATACTTATAACATCCTAATCCAGACGAGTTAATATCGACCTTAATAACGGAAACTCGTGATATGTCGATATCTGTAAAGTCATGATCACCCGTATACATCTCGAACACTCGAACAGCCTAAACCGCGGTTTCTTGGGGATTCATGTTAACGCCCATGGTGTTGTGAACTCTTCGTCATGAACGACTGCCTGGTATCCAAAGATAACGCCAAATCTCCAATTCTTTGAATCCAAATACGGAATTAATCATATCTAGTTTAACGACTACATGCCATATCGCATCATACATAAGTGAAATTATTGACAACGCAAATGATAATTGAAATATCTTAGACAATATTCAGGCTGTACACTTTAAGAGGGAAAATGAGGTGTATCAAATTCAGAGACATATCTGAATCACAACCAGTTTCAACTTACATCATGGAAATGATCGTCATGGGAGTTGGACTATCCACTTTCACTCTTGACATTGTTTCAAACACGCCCAAGATCGCCCATACACATTAGCTCTCTCGGTTTCATACTAAGTGTGGTATTACAGCCTTAAGCTTGTTAATTGTTCTGTTGAAATAGTTTCTTCGTGTCAGCTTCGCCATAGATGAAATATTTGTCGTTGTATACCAGCACGATTATGATTTGTCATATTATATATAACCATTTGTATTGTATTGTTGTTTCCATATACAGTAATTTTCAGAGATAGAGGAAAGATGTAAACAATTAAACAGTGAAACGCCGAGGCGACAAATCGGGTGGTCAGGCTCGCCGACTTTATTGATGCATGTCATCGTGTCCCAATAGCGTGGATCGATGCTCATGATGTCAATCACTGAATTGTCTTGTCCACACTCGATTATTTTTCAGGCCGCCGTCATATAGCTGGAATATTGCTGAGTGCGCGGCGATAAACAACAAACAAACAAACAAAATCGCGTACTGACTGCACATCCGTGCTTTTTTTTTTTTTCGATTTCTTAAAAAAACCAATTGCCCTCGTGATTTTGTCAAAGGGTTGTTTTGACTTCATTAAAGAGAGCACCACGACCCTGGACTTTGATCACCAAAGTAAACCTTAAACTAGACCAGACGATTGGAAGTAGTATGCTAATTTGGCCAAGTCATTGAGACACGTTGTTGAGAAGAGACGTTCATGTAATAAAACTTTCATTCAAAGATGGAGGACTCACGATTATTACTGCCCCGATCATTAAGACAAGAGCTTGTAAAACATATACATCCGGGTTCTAATCACCTAATCAAGTAGAACAAGTCTTCCACGCATAAAGGTTTGATGCGCGGATCACCCTCTAAGTGATTCACACTTTGAAATAACACTCCCCGGGTAACAACCTATGAATCGTGTCTCACAGTTTACCTAATACTTACAAGGCCGTGTATACTTTAATATAATTTAGCTCAAAATATGTGTGTACTTTTGAATCTGAAGTACCTTCAGTGTGATAATCATGAAGCTTGTGTTTGTTTGTTGGCGTCTTGGTGCCACATACAGCAATATTCGAGCTATATGACGGCGGTCTGTAAATAATCGAGTCTGGACCAGACAATCCAGTGATTGACATCATAAGCATCGATCAAGGCACTTGGGATACGATGACATGCATCAACCAAGTCAGCGAGCCCGACCGCCCTATGCTGTTAATCGCCTCTTACGACAAGCATAGTCGCCTTTTACGACAAGCATGGGTTGCTGAAGACCTATTCTAAACCGGATTTCACGGGGTCCATGTCGTTGTGGCCGCCATTAATACACAGTAATTAAACCCTGATAAACGATCTGGAAATATGCCCAGTGTCGTTCTAAAGTAATCTATGAACACAAATGTGTGTGCGTAAATATAGAATATTACACTCTGATCAGCCTTGACGTGCATCAGCTGTTTCGACAGCTGTCCGTGCATCGTTGGGCTGCCATGATTACCTCCCTTGACGTGAAAGTGCACATAAGCTGGAAGTTACAATTTCTTCTCAAGAGAAAATACAGTTGTGTGAGAGAAAACAATATCATTATATAATTTTAAAAAGATTGTTACATTATTTAAGATTTATATTTAATATTTCATGAAGTAATCATTATTAATTTTCGAATTCGCTGTTACCTCTGTTATTGTCAAGAGATATGTGAAGGAGATTTCAGTAACAAAACAGCAAACCTTTAATATCAAACAAAGAATTTGATGTGGCCTAATGTGAATTGTAAATACCTATTTGTCAGTATGATGTGTATCTCAGGAAATAGGTTGTGTCATATGCACGGTTCAAACCCGGGGTTGGTTGTACCCTTGTGGCTACAGTATCGTTTAAGTATGAACGTCCACCACAGAAGTAAACCTATCTGCGTCCCTGTCACCCCGTGGGGTTTCGTATCAGAATAGATCCCCAGCACTTATTCGTGTCACTCTTGGGAATTCCAGGAAAGAATAGGTCCCCAGCACCCCATGCTTGTCACCCTGTGGGGATTTCGTGTGAGAATAGGTCCCCAGCACCCCATGCTTGTCCCCCTGTGGGGATTTCGTGTGAGAATAGGTCCCCAGCACCCCATGCTTGTCACCCTGTGGTGATTTCGTGTGAGAATAGGTCCCCAGCACCCCATGCTTGTCACCCTGTGGGGATTTCGTGTGAGAATAGGTCCCCAGCACCCCATGCTTGTCACCCTGTGGGGATTTTGTGTGAGAATAGGTCCCCAGCACCCCATGCTTGTCACCCTGTGGGGATTTCGTGTGAGAATAGGTCCCCAGCACCCCTTTTGGGATTTCAGCTCAAAATAGGACCTCAGTACCCAGTGCCATTCAACCGATTCCAGTTATGAGTGTCTTCATTCTCTGATACATCCACACTCGGATATAACCACACTCACATATGTCCACACTCGAATATGTCCACACTCGGATATGTCCACAAACTGGAAAGTTCACACTCTGATATGTCAAACCTCGGATATGTCTGCCCCTGGATATGTCTACAGACTGATATGTCCACACTTGGATATGTCCACACTCGGATATGTCAACACTCGGATATGTCCACACTCGGATATGTCCACCCCCGGATATGTCCACACACTGATATGTCCACACTCGGATATGTCCACACACTGATATGTCCACACTCGGATATGACCACATTTGGATATGTCCACACTCGGATATGTCCACACTCGGATATGCCCACACTCGGATATGTCCACACACTGATATGTCCACACTCGGATATGTCCACACTCGGATATGTCCACACACTGATATGCCCACACTCGGATATGTCAACACTCGGATATATCCACACTCGGATATGTCCACACACTGATGTGTCCACACTCGGATATATCCACACACTGATATATCCACACACTGATATGCCCACACTCGGATATGCCAACATTCGGATATGTCCACACACTGATATGTCCACACACTGATATGTCCACGCTCGGATATGCCAACACTCGGATATGTCCACACTCGGATATGTCCACACACTGATATGCCCACACTCGGATATGCCAACATTCGGATATGTCCACACACTGATATATCCACACACTGATATGCCCACACTCGGATATGCCAACATTCGGATATGTCCACACACTGATATGTCCACACACTGATATGTCCACACACTGATATGTCCACACTCGGATATGCCAACACTCGGATATATCCACACACTGATATATCCACACACTGATATGCCCACACTCGGATATGCCAACATTCGGATATGTCCACACACTGATATGTCCACACACTGATATGTCCACACACTGATATGTCCACACTCGGATATGCCAACACTCGGATATATCCACACACTGATATATCCACACACGGATATGCCCACACTCGGATATGCCAACATTCGGATATGTCCACACACTGATATGTCCACACACTGATATGCCCACACTCGGATATGCCAACACTCGGATATGTCCACACTCGGATATGTCCACACACTGATATGTCCACACTCGGATATATCCACACACTGATATATCCACACACTGATATGCCCACACTCGGATATGCCAACATTCGGATATGTCCACACACTGATATGTCCACACACTGATATGCCCACACTCGGATATGCCAACACTCGGATATGTCCACACTCGGATATGTCCACACACTGATATGTCCACACTCGGATATATCCACACACTGATATATCCACACACTGATATGCCCACACTCGGATATGCCAACATTCGGATATGTCCACACACTGATATGCCCACAGACTGATATGCCCACAGACTGATATGCCCACACACGGATATGCCAACATTCGGATATGTCCACACTCAGATATGTCCACACTCTGATATGTCCAC